AGGGTGTTGTCTAAAACGGGTTTGCCTAAAAAGGACTGTTCAGGCCAGCTCAGCTCACCCCAACGACCCCTCCATTCAAAACACACACACATATGGTTCTTCAGGATGGAACAGCAAATACCCCCGAGGGCCCTCAGGACTCCGCCAGCAGGGACGCTGGGCCCCCCGTGGGAGACTTGACTGGCCGTCAGTCTATTCCTGCCCCGTGCGCGCGGGCGCGCGCGCGCGCGCGCACGCACACACACACACACACACACACACAGAGCCTGGTTCTGCCCCTTGGAGGGGCTCTGCTCTACAGGCTCCATGCAGAAAAAGAGGGCAATGATATCGATTGTAAAGGTTTGGGGTAAAGATTAAATAAGGTAGGAAAAGCACTGAGCACTCGATGGCAGGCACTCAATTAAGAGTAACTCTAATTATGCCGACAGCTAACTTTCCTCTGGCACTTTCAAGCATTCATTATGACACAAATACGCAAATGACAGAATGAGGTCAGGGAGAACAGGTATGTTATCCGCTTTACACGGGACATCAAGATTTGGAAGTGAAATGACTCACCCGAGATTACGTGCTAAATTAGTGGCCAAGTGGAGGCTCGGTCCCGGGGCTCTGCTTAACCTAAAGCTGTATCTGGCCTGCCAAACAGTATGGGTGCACAAAGACAGGACCCAAGCTAAGAGGGAGGCCTTTGCCAATCAGAAGTTCTAGCCAGTTAGCCTCCCTGGGTCCAGGTTACCCGGCATTGGCAAGTCACTTATAACTCCGGCCAGATAGAGGAACATGGGGTCCTCAGGGGCTTCCACTCAGAGGCCATTCGCATCTGTTTGCCAGGGGAACCCATGAGAAACACTCTTGACAGCCTCTCTGTTATTCTAGGCCCCCACAGGGACACCGCGTAGGTCCCAGCCGAAGTCCGCAAAGGCCCAAGATCCACATAGCACACGTCAGAGGTGAGACCCTTCCTTACTCAGAGCTGAAAACTCCTGCCTTAGAAACCATTCTACCACATCTGATTCCTTCCCTAGAATGGGGAAAAGTGAACCCTGGCTGGTGTGGCTCCGTAGAATACGCGCCGGCTTGTGAACCAAAAGGTCGCCAGTTCAATTCCCAGTCAGGGCACATGCCTGGTTTGGGGGCCAGGTCCCCAGTTAGGGACATGCAAGAGGCAAACCGATTGGTGTTTCTCCTGCATATCGATGTTTCCCTCTTTCTCCCTCCCTTCCCCCTCTCTCCAAAAATAAATTAAAAGAATATCAAAAAAAAAAAAAAAAAAAAAAAGAATGGAGAAAAGTGCCATTTAGCAGGGAACCGAAAAGTTGCTAACTACACGTAGGCACACCCATGCGAATTTTGGCTGCTACCAGACAGGGATGGAAGAAGGAACAAAAACCAAAGCAATCAGAATTCAGAATGTAGCAACCTGGGGGCACCAGGCACAGGGGCAAAGTACTCTTGGGAGCTCAATAAACCCAGGAGGCATATGGTAACCAAATACACTGACAACGGTGAGACTCTGGCATCCAGAGTCGGTTATGGTTAGTGTTCTTCCGTTCATAAAAGAAGGGAAATAAATATTTCAGCCCTGCCCTCGGAGGGTGATAGCATTCTTAGCTCCCTGAAAAAAATCTGTGCACTTCATTCCCAAAGGCTTTCAGAATCCCAAATTCCGCTGCAATAGAAAAGATTCCTCTATAAAATACTCCACAATTCAAGCTTTTCACTAATTCTTTCCAGGCACTCTCCTTCCCCATCCCTTCCCCACCAATCTGGGTTAATGAGGTTTTATTGGAACCCACCATGAGCCACAGGTAGAGACTTAAACCAGCTCCACCCTCCCCATGGAGCTGAAGCCAGGAGTGACATCAGCTCTGGAAGGCTCAGCGCCCGGGCAGAGGCAGTTAGCGCCTCCCCCGCCCCCACCCACTCGGCCAGGCGGTGGGGAAATGTCTCTACTAGCCCCCATAATTAAGGCAAAAAGGAATTTTATGCCTTTCAAGAAAGAGAAGAGAGAAAAACAGCAAATAACCATTCCAGGACAAGCCATTTTCCTTGCATGGCAAAAACAAAAGACCACAGGAAACACACACACACACCCCTTTTTAGACCAACCTGTTCTTTTCTCTCGGGAGTGGTTTTGAGCAGCCTCCAGCCCTAGCTGCCTTCCCTTGCCCATTCAAAGTCAGGTGCCCAGGGATCGCCCCCTACCTCACCAGTCCCCAGGGGGGTTGTGACCTACCTCCCCTGGGGCCAAAGTGAGCCCGCAGAGACACAGATCTGTGTGACCCCAGGACATCTCCCACCAGAGAGACCTGTGAAGGTATTCTATGGCACTTTGAATCTCCACTTTTAAATCAAGTCTGGAGAGGGAGAGAGCAGGGCTGGGAAAGAGAAAACAAACTACACTTTATTAAAGAAAGAAAGGAAGGAAGGAAGAAGGAAAAAGGATAGAAAGAAGAAAAGAAAGAACACCTAAGCCTCAAGCCGGAGCCTTCCCCCACAGCTTATACTCTCAGGCTCAGCTCAACCACCCCCACCAGGAAGCCCTCCCATCACCTCAGCTCTAAGGAGCCCCCTCCCTCCCTCCTTCCTCAACCCCTTGAGACACAATCGGCTCCTGGGCTGTGTCTCTATAATGTGTCAAAGTTTCTAGGTGAGAAAAAAAAATGCCCCATACTGCAGCATGTGCTGCTTCCCAACACAAAGAACACTGAGAAATGTGGCCCACAGGGAATCACCAACCCCATCTGCCTCCCCGTTACCAGTGGCTCTGGGAGGCGAGCTCCCAGGCAGGCCAGCCTCCCCCGCGGCAGCCTAGGCGACCACCGCTCCTGCCCTGGCCGGGTGGCTCCGCTGGTTGGCGTGCGCTCAGGTATGCCGAAAGGCTTTGGGGGCCATCCCTGGCGGGGCGTGTATGGCAGGTAACCAATTCATGTTTCTCTCTCCCTTCCTCTCTCTCTAAAAATCAATAAACATATTCTCAGGTAAGGATTTTAAAATTGTTTTAATTTTAAAAAAAAGGAAAAGAAAAGAAACCACCACTCCTCCCGATTCTTGTGAAAATAGGCTGATTGAAAATAGACAGGGAACTCCACCTCAGCATCCCTGCGGAGGCCCCATCTTGGGCCTGGAGAGAGCGGAGTAGCCAGGTAAGGCGAGGTGGGCAAGGGAAGGAAGCCAAGCCCTTCCACTCTCTTCCCCAGGATATTAACTATTATTTAAGGTGCAAGCTCAGTCCCACAGAAGCCACAACCCAAAAGAGCAAAGGAGGAGGCAGATGTCAGATTCTTCGATCTGAAAGCCAGGACTGCACTGAAGACCTTGCTCAGAAACCTTGTCTGTCCCCATGGCTCCCCATATAGGGCACCCCACACACACTCCAACCCATCAGCAATTCCAGAGGCAACAGGGACCCTCTCCTGGACTTTCAAATGCTTCCAAGTACAACAGTAACGTGAGAAGTGGGGGGTGGGGGGTGGGGGGCACTTCGCAAATCCGCCTGGAAAACACCTCACCTGGGCCAGACCCTGTAAAATCCCCAAAGCTCTCAATACCTGGGGGCTACAATTATTCTAGAGAGACGAGTTTACAGAGGGTCGGCGTGGCTGAGAGACTAATCCTGATTCCACATTACAAGCGGAGGACCCACCCCCGGCCGGCGCTCCTTCCTTGCCCACGTGCCTCCCTGTGCCAGAGCCCGGGAAGTCGGGCCGTCCAGATGTGGCCACTTCCGGAAGGGGAAGAGCCCCTCTCCATCCCAGGGGATGGCCGATTCGCACGGCAGAGAAGGACCTCGGGACTCTAGCAACGGGTGTCGGGGCTGGGGGGTAGACGTGGGCAACCGGTGGCCAGCGCTGACACCTGGCGGCGGCCCGGGTCCCAGCCCACGTCAGGGCCGGCGCTGCGGGGCGGTTCCCAGGAATGGGTTACAGGGGCCGAGAACAAAGCGCCCCCATTGGGGAAGGCGGGCTAGCGGCCGGCGGCCAGGGCGGGACTTCACTTTCTGGGGACCCTCGGGATACTCTTTGTCGGCCGGGTCCCTCTTTAGAGGAGACCCACCCCTCGCCAATGGTGGATGCTGGAGTTGTACCTAAAAGCCTCCTTCAATCTCGGTCTCCACACTGGTCCCTCTTTCCCCCAGCTCCACTGGGCGGGCTAAGGAACCCGCCTTCCCAACGCGCGGCTCCAGCACAAAGCCGGGCCGGGGGAGGGGAAGGGCCATTTCGGGTCCACTCGCGTGGAAGCCGCGCGCCCACCCGGCCGTCCCCAGCGCGGGCACGCGCCCCTTCGCGGGCAGCACAACTTCAGCCCAGAAGTTGGGTTCCTGTGGCTCTCTAGTGCTCTGGGGCCAACTTCCCGGAACCTCCTGCTGCCAGCTCGGCCTGGCTCCCTTCAGACAGCCAACGGAAAGCCCTAGGGCCCCACCTCCGCCTGCCGGCCCGCGTCCCCGCGCTGCCCCGGCCCCCGCTCCTTGGCAAATGCGCCCGCCTGCTCTCGCGCGGGCTCCGCTGCGCCCAAACTTGTCTCCGCCAAAGGGGCCGGGCGCCCGGTCTCGGCGGGTCTGGTTTGAATTAGGGTCTCCGGGAGGGGCGTTGTGGCTGTGGTCACCGCATCCTCCCGGATCACCGGCGGGGGGGGCCGGCCATCGCAGTGCCCGGGTTTGACGGGGTGCGAGCCGGCGACCCCAGGTGCCGCCGCAGGCTGGCGGGCTCCGATGCATGTGGAGCCGTTTTACATAATTGAACGCTGGGCCCTGGCGCAGGCTCCATTCTGCGGGCGCCCCAGTCCCCAGCCCGGAGCGGCGAGACCCACCCGGCGCCCACAGACGGCGGGGGCAATTGGGGCTGGATCCCGGGTTTCGGGGTTCACATTCGCGGGGCTAGCGCGGGAAGAAGATAAGCCCAAGGTTCCCCTCCCCCTCCACGTGCTGCCGTCGGCATCTGTGGGTCTGCAAGCCCCGGCTTCCCGCCGCCTCTCAGCCCGACCCCGGCCGCACTCACCGGGAGGACCGGCTGCAGGCGCAGCGCCAGAGCGCAGAGCCAGAAGCAGAGCGCCGCGCTCCTCATGCTGCCCGGACCGGCGACGGGGGCGCGGCGGGCGGCGCGGGTCGGGGCTGTTTGGACCGCGCTGGGCTCGGGGCCGGCACCTCCGAGTGCGCTGCGCTCGGCTCCCTTGGGCGATGCCCCGCGTGCGGCTGTCCTGGGATAGCGCTGTGGGGTCCGCCGGCCGCAGTCCGCTCTCTACTGCTGGATTCCTTCCGACTCAGCTCCGCTCCCGCCTGCACCTCTCCCGCCGAGCTCCGCCTTATAATAAACCTACAGGCCCTTAGCCGTTGCAAAAACTAGCCCCCCACCCCCTGCTCGCCAGGTCTTCGGGCCAGCCCCAGTCCCCACCCCCCCAGGACCCCGCCCCCTGAGCCACCCGGCCCGGCCTCTTCGATCGCCCCACCCCGGAGCCCGGGCCCCTCCCCGCACCGCCAGGGTGGAGCCTCGCCTCTCTCTTGAGCCGTGGGCCCTGTGGGCAGGGGTTCCCGGCGTTTCTGCTCCGCCGCTGCCAGGTAGTGGGGACCCGGGTGCAGCCGCTTCCGCCCCAGCCGAGTGCATTGAGGCGCTGTCCGGGAAGGGGGCAGGAGGGGAGGTAGTTGATCCTCGACTGTGGCCGACAGTCTGCAGCGCCCTCTGGGCGTGGACCCCGAGCGTCCTCCAGGTGCGTCGGACTTGCAGGTTCCCGGTGGGAAGACTTTGGGCGGCTGTTCGCACTCTGAAGTGTCGGGGCCCTAAACGGATGGATCCCTCCTCCGCCTGTCCTCCGACTGCAGGTGGGGCTCCTACGCCCGCCCCCCGCCCCCCCCAGCTTGGGTTCCCCGATGCATTCGCGTTCTTCACAACGTGCTGGAAAACCCGACCCTACTTTAAACATCTTATCGTGCTCAGAAGGGTAGTTTAAAAAAAAAAATCTTCGAGATCTTTCTATGGAAGACAATGCCCTGTCTTTTCATCCTCTGAGCTAAAAGAAAAAAATTAACGGCTTTGTTTCCAGATGAACCCCTCCGGCCTGCAGATTTAAGAAGAGCTCCTTTGAGTGCCTGTTCATGATTTCTTGAGCGGCCCTGGGCTTCAATGTTTCCATCACCAGTCAGGCACCTCAGTGCAGAAGGCTATAGAAGGCCAATGGGCGTAGTGCAAACGGCCTTGAGAGAAGAGGGAAGAACCGCCAGGCCCTGCCTGCACACTGATAGGCAGGACAGATGGTGCCAAATGACCTACGGACCTGGGCCTGGACACCAAAGATGGTGCCTTCCCCACCCCTCCTCCCCAGGCAGCGGAGTTTCGGCTGGCCTCCGCCGGCCTCTCGGACAGTCTCCAGTGTCGCGCTTTAAACGGGTTAAACACTCCTGGGTCCTGGGTCACGCAGACAGCCTGGGCCCCACCCACCCAGCAGCCTCCCGCATCCCCACCTCGAGCCACACCCCCTGCTCCAGAATACCGGTTTGACCTTAGGCAGCTCTCCCTTTTTGAGCCTCAGTTTCCCCCTCGACGTCCGTGACGGATAACAGACCCTCACCAAGGTTCTCGGGGCCTGAGGCGATTCCCTGCCTGTGTCGGTGTCTCGCGTCATCTGCCATCCTGGCAGCCACAGGAAGGGCCCCTCTGGAGCTCAGGGAGTCCTGCTGGGTTCTGCGTTCTAGTGACAGATCTCCAGGAGTGTGTCTCCAGGGGCTGGCTCCACTGCCTGAAGGTAACTCTTGGTCTTTTTAACCCAATATGGAGGAAAAATAGGTCTGTTTGGAATCATCTCTCTCTACTGCACAAAATAAAGAAAACTGGAGTCAGGGAGGGTTTGATGGAGTGTTTTCATATTATAAAAAATTACAAGTTTAGTGTTTCTCTCAAACAGAGTACCATGTATTTGCCTCAGATCAATGTGTGTTTCTTTGGGCAGATTAGGAAGAGGCGGTGCCCCAAGGGTGACACACGCAGAGACGGGAAGTAGAGGGTCAGCTCTTGCCTTGACCCAGCGGACCCTGGGCTGCTTGCTTCTCCCAGCCCGAATTCTGCAATAGAATCTCTTCCTTCCAGAAGAAGCTTTCTCGGGGTCCCAGCCCCCAGCCCTCTGCAGCCCTCTGGAGTGCCGGGGTGACAGCAGCTCCCATGCAGGGGCAGGACCACCCCTGTTTGCACTTGTCAGCCCTTGGGACCCCCTAGACCTTTGTAAGTTTAACTAAAGGGTTAGTGTCTGGCTGAGCAGGGGGCCTCTAGCCTCCTAGCAGGGCACCAGGCAGGTCCTCCATCCTGATTTGTATTCTTAACACAGGTTATCACCTGTCTTCAGTATTATCCTTGGTGAATTACTAACCAGGGACTAATAAAAGGAAGCAGGGGTTGCTTCCTTTTCCTGGAAGGAAAGGGGAAGGCGGGGCCTGTGTCTCTGCTCATTTCATTCTTCCAATGGAGCCACAGGGCTTCCTTCTGGGAAAAACGCATGGCATCGCCGCTGGGGCAGCACCTGGAGGGAAGTGGGTAGGAAGAGGCCAGCAGCTGTGCTGTTGGGGGGACCCTGGGTGTAGGTGGCCCCTTTGACACATTAGGCACCTAAACCTCATAGACATTCTCTGGGCAAGTTGCCACCTGTCAAAACTTAAAATGCACTATCCTTTAACTCAGGAATTCTGCTTCAGTAACCTTACTCCCCAGAAGTATTCTCACCAGTGTCCAAAGAGGCATGTTTAAATGTTCATCAATAAAGGAAAAGTGAAATCAATGTGAGTATCCCCACGCTGTGGAATGCTAGACAACAATTTTTTAAATGAAGTAGATGATTAAGTCCTGACATGAAATGTTTTTCAAATCCTATGTTTAGGTTAAAAGGAGCAAGTTAAAGAGTGATCGGCCCTGGCTGGTGTGACTCCATGGATTGAGTGCCGGCCTGCAAACCAAATGATCGCCGGTTCAATTCCGAAGCCAGGCACTTGCCTGGGTTGCAGGCCAGGTCCCCAGTAGGGGGTGCACGATAGGCAACCACAGGATGTTTCTCTCCTTCCCCTGTCTCTAAAAATAAATAAATTTAAAAAAAAGATCTATATACAGTATGGCGAAAATTTTCTTGAAAATGTGTAATGTACATAGACTCTATATGTATGTGCTAAAAAAGGTCAGAGGAGAAAAATAGGATATGGACAGTGAGGGGCTTTAAGCTTACTATGTATTCTCAAGTGTTTATATTGAGGATACTTAAGTTGTTTCATTTTTTAAATTGGATGTTATTTTCTGAATCAGTGAAGGTGCTTTCGGCCTCAAGTAATGGCTTCCCTTCCAACAGCAGGTGTTGCCTATACCTGCTCCTGCTCTCTCCACTGCACAGGCAAAACCTCCGCAAGGCTGGAACCGAAGACCCTCCCACCCTTCGGCTCTGCCATCCCGATTCCACTTCCTCCTCAGGATGCTGGCAAGGTGGCATTGTTCCCAGCCACCACAGCTACAGAGCCATGTCCAGAAACAAGGCCACCTTCTCCTACTGTCTTTCTTAGGAGTAAGGGAATAGTTCCCAAAGACCCCCTTACACACACACACACACACACACACACACTTCTTCTTTTCCCATCTCGCTGGACCAAAGTGGCTGCTTTGCCTTCATGAAGCCATCGCTCGTAAGTGGATTTTCAGTACCAGTGTGGGTATAGGTTAACTTCCAGGGGCTTGGATGTGGGGGCGCCAAGGCCACATCCATAAATATTTTGATGTCTTAAAGAGTATAAGATGCATGTAAGAGCATTCTGCTTCAAGAGCATACAAAGCACAACTTCTTTTAATCCAACTTCTTCTCATTGTAAAGCATTTTAAAAGACAGTTGTTTTATTGTAAACACTTCAAACATATAATAAAGAATAATATTCCTCAAAAAATGAAAAATAGAATTATCATATAATCTAACAATTCCACTTCTGGGTATATACCCAAAAGAAATAAAAGCAGGGACTTGAACAGATATTCGTACACCCATGTTCCTAGCAGCACCATTCACAATAGCCAAAAGGTGGAAACACTCCAGGGCTCCATTGGCAGATGAGTGGATAAACCAAATGCGGTGTATAGTTACAGTGGGATATTATTGAGTCCCAAAAGGCAGGAAACCCTGTCCCATGCTACAACCCTGATGAACCTTCGAGACTTTCGGCTCAGTGAAATAAGCCAGTCACAAAAGGACACATACAACCTGGTTCCACTTATATGAGACTTTTAGAATAGTCAAACTGAGAGACAGAAAATAGAACGGTGGTTGCTAGGGATGGGAAGGAGAGGGGACCGAGGCGTTACTGTTTCACAGACATGGAGTTCTATTTTGGGAAGGCGAAAAAGTGCTGAGTATGGATGATGGTGGTCGTTATACAACGACGTGAATATACTTAACGTCATTGAACTGTACACCTGAACGGTTAAAATGGTAAATTTTATGTTGTGGATTTTTTTTTAAATGCAAAAAGAACCTCAATTGCTAAAAAAGAAAAAAGAAAAAGAAACAATGAACACCTGTACAACCACCACCTGGTTTATCAAATCTTAACATGATGTCTCTTTTCAATTCTTTTTTTATGAAATGAAACAATACAGATTCAATTGAGTCTCTCAATTTGTGTTTTGAGATGTATCCGTGCTACTCATGTGGTTCGAGGCCATTTATCTTAATTGCTGTGTTATAACTCGTTACATGCACATACCACGATTTATTAATCCCCGGGCATTTGGCTGGTTCCAGTTTTCCAATGTTACGTGCAATGCTGTGGTCTATCCTGTACCTTTCTCCGTGAGTGCATGTGAGACTTCTCTAGAAGTGGCTGGAGCTCCTGGGTTTTAGGTCCAAATATCTTCCTCTTTCTTAGGCATTGCTCTAAGTCATTTCTCTAACCACGGCGCTTTCCAAAGGACTAATAATAGCAATTTACACTCCCAGCAAGAGTATTGAGAGTTCCCATTTTTCTACATCCTTTCTAGGACTTGGCACTTATTGGACCTTTCATATTTCGCCGACCTGATATAGGTAGAGTGATGTCTTATTGCCGTTTGATTTTTAATAGCCCTCCTTTTATGAAACATTTTGCTGAAGCCTTTTGCTGCCAGCGTGGGCACGCACTACTGGTTTGCTTTCCACATCTGTTTTCCTCCCCTTTTTCAATAAAAGAACTCCTACATTTCAGCTGGATTGATGGCCACTCGAAATAAAGACTACCTTTCCCAGCATCTCTTACAGCTACATGGAGCCACATGATCAGGGTTTTGTCCATGGGACAAGAGCAGAAGTGACGTTTGTACCTTCAAGGAAGTGTCAAAGGAAGAAGGCATGCCCCTCCCCTTTCTCTTCCTCTTTCCCCCTGGCTAGAACACAGATAGGATGGCCGCAGCTGGAGCCATCATTTTGGACAGTGACCTTGGGAACAGAGACCGCGCACGGCGGAGGAACAGGTTAGAAGGAGCATGAGTCCCTGGCCCACAAAACACCACACCAGCCCTGCTCACCCAGACACATGCATGATGGGGAAATAGACTTCAGCTTCACTTCGGACACTGTTATCCTGGTTTTTCTGCCCATTGACAATGAATCTAATCCTAGCAATACACTATCTACTCGGTCGTCCACACATGACCAACAGATTTGCCAGGGGAGGAGGGCAGATGCCATCAATAAACGCCTGTAGGAGGCAACCTAGCCACGTTCCTAGTCCTGGACTGGGTGTTAACTCTGGATGTGACTCGAGGCATCTAATGACCTCTGTCCCCAAAAGAAGTGTAGACAAGAAGGGCCTCCTTTGAGAGAGGAGGGGTTTTCAGAACCTGCAGCCCATGCGGGCCCTTCTTCTCAGACACTGGGGAAGCTCCCGGGGGCAGGCAGCGTGGCCCTGCCCCACCTCCATGGGGCTCTGTCGCCAGCACCTGCTGTGGGGCTGTACTTGTGTCTACCGTGAGACATGAAGAGCTAAGGGCCGTGGGAAGTTGTTTCTTTTAAGCAACTGCCGTGTTTGTTCTTATAGGTTCTGCTTCCGCTTGCCTGCTCAGGTAGCTCAGGAACCACGGGGGCTGCAATCACTGCAAGTGTACTGAACTTTACATCCTGCTTCTCAGTTCCCATCCTCACACCCTGCCTCCTGCCCCTGCATTCTGTCCACTTCTCATGAATAGTTTCCCTCCCCTTCTCAGTGGCCTCTAGTATTTGCTGGAATGTCAGCAGGAGGAGAGAGAGAAAGAACAAATACACCCCTTGTAAATATTACTGGCATTTACACATCCAGGTCGGAGAATTTACCTCCCCAAAGTGGCCCCCTCGGGAGACAGACACTGCCCATGTCATCAGCCTATGATGGCTCTTTTTTTCTTTTTTAAGGAGGTTGGAGGGTGTAGTTCATTCTTTGGATAAATAAATGTGTCCAGAGCCACCGTGGTGCCCAACTCCTGGAAGCAGCGCTCCCAGGGCCTGCCAGGTACATTGAGATCCTCAGAATTGTGCTCTAGGAATTCACCTCTGGTGGCATGGAGCCTGAGCGGTGCCCCTGGAATGGAGCCCTGCCTCAGGGTGACAGCTGCAGGAGCCTGGCCCCGCTGGATGCTGGGATATGCAAATGAAAACAGGAGATTCTCACAGTCGAGGAGGTCAGTCTCTTTGCAGAGAAGTAGACAAAAACCAGCATTATAAAACAGAGAAGTGCCTGCCACACCCATCTGTATAACAGCTGCTGGAGGGAACAATTGATTAGCAATGCAAAGGAGAGGTTCCAAATGGTGTCAGGGATGAGGAGGTTCCAGTTATGGCCCAGGGTGGGGAGAAGCCATTAGAACCTGTCCTTAGGCAAAGAAGGGTGATTCTGGCCGTGTATTAGTTTCCCATGGCTCCTGTGAAAAACTGCTACAAATGTGGTTTGAAGTGCAGACTAAAGGGGCCACATGCCCTGGCAGGGTAGCTCAGCTCAGTTGGTTAGAGCATTGTCCTCATACACCAAGATTGTGGGTTCAATCCCTGGCCAGGAATCAAGGAATGAATGCATGAATTAGTAGAATAACAAACTTATAGCTCTCTCTAGAATTAATAAATAAAAAGAAGAAAAGGGGACTCCTACTAAACCTGACAAGCTCAGGGGAGGTCTGTATGGTGGTCTTACAAACTCAGAGAACACAAGTAACCACATAGGATGGTCTGAACATTAAAATTATTGTGCTAACTAAAGATGAGTCACAACTGGTAGTCACATCCTAGGCCTATAGCTTCCTTGACAAAAGTCAGTCTTCATGTTAAGTATGGCTGTCTATTTTCTTTCTGCATCGCAGATAACATACCTCAGAGTGGTCTCCCTTCCCAGACCCCTCAGGGCACTCCCACCGCGCCAGGGCAGGAGACCGCGAACACTTTATTGTATCTTGTTCCCCTGAATACCATCTGCATGTGCTGTAAATGGTAATTATTAACTATCCCATACCCCACTAGGTAAAAGAAGTGTATGTTTCCTCGTTTTACTTTTTATCCAATCCCAGAGATTTCCCCACTTTGCTTTCTCCCACCCCCTTAATCTACCACCAATGGATACCATGTAATCCCCTTATGTCTCCTCCTTTGATTCTAATGTGTAAAATCAGCTGCCAAACTTCATTTCTCAGTTCTCAGTCCTTGAGATTTTACTTCTTGGTAGTTGTCAGTTTGGTTCAAATAAACTCATAAAAATTCCCTACAGGTTTGGACGTTTCTTACACAACAAAAATAACATACATTTATTCTCTTTCTGTTCTGGAAGCCAGAAATGCCCAATCAGTTTCATTGGGCCAAAATCAAGGTATCAGCTGGTCTCCACTTCCACCAGCTTGGAACAGAGGCTCCGAGGGAGAATCTGTTCCTTATCTCTTCCAGCTTCTGGTGGCTGCAAGCATGCCTTGGCTTGTGGCAGCACCACATTGCCTTCTC